TCCTTTTATATATATATATATATATATATATATATATATATATATATATATATATAATCCGGATCTAATATTAAAGAATTTTTTTTGTAGAAAGGTAATAAGTATTTTATATGTATACTTTTAGCAAACAAACAAAATAAATCATTACATGAATCAAAATTAACATGAGACACAATAAAAAAACACTTTCATTATTCATTTTTTAATAAATTAGGAAAAAATTCACTTTACATGCAATTTTAATGAATAACAACAAAAATTATAGTGAAAATGAATTATTGAGATGTTTCTGCCGATTTTTTTGGAAAATCTTATTTTCTATTCATCTAATGATTCTTTTTTTTTTGGCAAAAAAATATGCAGTTAAAAGTTTCTTAACTTGCTGCCAATAATTTTTTTCTTGCTGAATCTATATATATATATATATATATATATATATAAAGGTTGTAAAAATTGTTCGGCGGTAGCTTGTCGGTCGACTGGCGATAAGCGATTAATCGGACTATGCGAGAATTAATCGGGAACACTTAATTATTAATGAAATTATGTAAAAAATTAATATTCCCTAAAAACGTAAGTATTTGAAAATTTTAAATTTTAAAAATTAAAAATTTTGAAAAGTTTTGTTTAATATTTTAAAATTTGAAAGCTTAAAATTTTGAAATTTTAAAATTTTGGTGTAATGTTTCAAAGTTAATTTTTTTTGAGTTTTTAAAAAATTCTTACCTATGACCTCCGAGATCGCCAAGGACCACCAAGTCCGACTTTGACTGATTTTGATCAATTTCCGCCGAGCACCCTTATTGTAACCGGTTTAATGTCGCCAAGCGTTTAATCACCGATTTGTTATCGTACAAGGTTCTTAAATTTCAACCCTAACTTCATATACTTCCAAAATTTTTTGAAGTTTCACTATGTTCCTCTTACATCACATCATTTTGTCGAACACCTACTATGCTATATATAACGTCCCAATTTGCAGAATAAAATTTTTAATTTTAAACACATCTTTTGATAAGACATGTTCAAGGAAAAGCCTTTATTTGTAAACCATAGTTTAAAATCAGAGTTATTAGCTAAAGTCTTGCGGAATCTAAAATCATTAAACTGTTGATGGTTGTGTACAAGCATGCCTTCAAATTCTCACTAACTGTCAAAGCACCTGAAAAAACATTTACTCCATAATTGTAAGCCAAAGTTTATTGAGTTCCCCAAAATACCTCACATAACAGTACACATATAATGCATGTGCACATGAGTCTTTAGTCTGACTCTACCGCCTCAGAAGGCCAACAATACACCTAGACAACTTTGCTTGGGCCTTCAATCTGATTATATATATATATATATATATATATATATATATATATATATATATATATATATATATATATATATATATATATATATAATCTACAAACTATAAAGCTTAGGTATCAAAACCTACCATACTACTTCCTTTTGTATCATATATATGCATTGTTACAATACAATGTTCTTAAATTTCAACCCTAACTTGATATACTTCCAAAAATTTTGAAATTTCACTATCATCTTTCTTTTACATCACATCATTATGTCGAACACCTACTGTGCTATATGTAACGTCCCAATTTTTAGAATAAAATTTTTATTTTTAAACACATATTTTCATAAGACGTATTCAAGAAAAAAAAAAGCCCTTTATTTTTAAATCGTAGTTCAAAATCTTAGTTATTAGCTAAAAGTGTCGTGGGATCTCAAATTATTAAACTGTTGATGGGTATGTATAGTCATGCCTTCACATTCCCACGAACTGTCAAAGTACCTAAAAAAATATTTAATCCAGGTAAAGTTTATTGAGCCCGCCCCCCCCCCCCCCCCCCCCAAATACCTCACACAAAAATAAACATACAATGGATGCACACATGAGTCTTCAGTTTAACTGGACCGCCTCAGAAGGCCTACATTTAACATAGAAAGCTCTCCTTGGGCCTTCAATCTAACTAGATCACCTTACAAGGCCGACTGTACATCTGGACAATGCTACTAATCCTACAAGATATAGTTGGACAGATGCCTTGAGCTTACAACACTCAAAACAGTGAAAAACTCTAGTCCCTAACTATGAAAACCACCAAACCGAGATATACATCTGGACAACGCTCAACAATGGGAAAAAATCTCGAAGCTGTGACTGCAACCAAGTCTATTAACATAGTTAACAAAACTGAGAATCCATCAACCTAAAAACTTGGAAACCTTACGTAATGCCTGATAATCATCTATTTCTGGTTCCTACCTCTAGTGCCTGGCTAAGAACACCGCCAAACTTTGTAGAAAGACACTCAAATTATTCCAATCAAGAATTTTTCCAGTCCTAACTCTATAAATTATGCCTAAAATACATCGAATACATAGTTGACTTCTTGACAAGTTATCACTATCCCAACGCTCCCACGAGCCTAACAGTGGCCAACCTAAAATCTTGCATGACATCCACACTCCCGTACACTCAAGTGTACGACCTCCTGAAAATTCATCCAAAAGACCTACAACGAACTCTATCACTAGTAACTTCACACGCTCAATACCATCCTCAAAATTAAATAAGGATCGACTAAGGAGAAGCTAACAAAGAACGATTGCAATACAATCATGAGTTTTCCAACAAGTTCGCCTCCTACGAAAGCCTGACCCACACCTATCGGTTATTCGACCACCGGTAGTGAAATCCACGATGGTTCACGATACACCGTGACACCATCCAACCATTGGAATGAGAAGCTCATGGTTCTACACCATTCTCTCCATCATCCTCATGGTTCTACACCATTCTCTCCATCATCCAACCACAGGTATGAAGACTAACAACTAGCACCCTAGGCATATAGGCACACAACCATCATCTTAGCAACATGTAGGAACCCAATCAACATCTCACTTAACACTTATTAAAAAGAACATGAGCCACAAATTTCTACAACACACAACCCTTCCACAGTCCAATTAGTCACCAATACATCATTAGACAAAAACATGGTCGTACGAGACCAAAACAATTAGATAGAAAGTTGAACTCTGGTTCCAACTTGAAAACGATAATTCACACAAGAATCATGCCATCAAGTTGGACTAGATGTTCTAAGACTATCTTACTCAGTCCATATACACCCATCATGACTATATTTGTTGAACTGTCAACATTTCACACTCCCAGGAGAAAACACAACGCTCCTTAGGCCGACTATGTTCCTTGCTCATCATAACCTTACCCAAAGGGTGAAGTACTAGTGGATCAAACGAAGTAAAAGACCTCAACTACTAATATAAACATTATCCTGAAAACCCAAACAAGACCTCACACCTTAAATGAAGCTGAACACATCCCACCAATATGCAATTAAACAAATAAAACTTCCAAAATAGAAAAAGAATTCCTAAATTATGCAGAAATGTTGCCAAAACCCCGATTGAATCGACCCTAATTATCAATCCTTAAGAAGTGACATCCCAAATTGATTTATGTGTAAATCTGAGTAACCTAGAAGATTAAAATCAGTGTTACAACATTTGAACTTTCACTATCCCAGAAAACTGTCAAACTCGAGCCTACTAGAATTCACAATTCCTCAATCAAACCACCAAGGGTCTACATACCCTAAACCCTAAAAATACCACTGACAAGACTTTGATTAAGAGTTAACGCACCAACTACACCTTCAACTATTACATCTAGGAGGCCCTCGAAAAACTCTTGGATCCCGATGACAAATGGAATGACTAATCAATCAGAATTGGATCGACAACTAAACCCAATGATCCACTACACCATTAAACAAAGCCCAAGAGAAAATACATAGACCGAACTCTAAACCTAATAAAAAAAAATAAACAACTGCCCATCCTTTACCATAAACAACCGACCCATATTGCGAGCTAACCATGTTCTCTATATCTGATTCTTAACCTAAGCAGCTCAAACGCTCCTCTCTTAATTTCCCTGGCGATTCGAGAAGGAACTAAAGACCACAACGAGTTTGTTTCCTATTGGTTTCTTAGTGTGAGGACAACACATGCATCCTTGAAGACATAAACCGGACGGCAACTTGCTCTGCACTCACGATCACGATCTGACTAATCCTTAAATTCTCCACGACCACGGAAGACTCTAATGAATCATTAAGAAACGCAACAAGGAACTTTATAACCATGAGTACTTCAATGATAGCCTACATTCATTTTCTTATGCAAAAATAAACCTACACCAAAACCTCATACACTTGAATAGTAGATTCTTCCGACACATAGTACTGAAACCACAAAATCGAACCGCCCAATGATCCTCCAATCATAATACAATGTTCTACCCCACTTAGGGTGGCTTAAAAAAATCATTAAACACATTAGATATCTTAAGGAATTGCAATGGGTCAAAATTGAATGAATCTATCTATTAGATAGTTTGTGATCAAATATGCTCACAACATATTCTAAGAAACTCTGAGTCACCATTTTTTACGTTCGAATCTAGAATTCCAGGGATTTCTAACCATATATGATGCATAAGTTATAGTCTTATAGATCACCCATTGAAATTGGATAAAATAGAGTTGTTGTCATTTCTTTATTAACTTTTTAGCTCATGTCTTCTTGGTCGTCTTATTCAAGGTATACAAAACATGGGCTGATAATACAAGCCACTTAAATATAGACCTCCATCACTCCTAAATCCAGTTTTGTTTCATCATCGAGGTTGGAGCAAAGCAGACATTACTAGCCAAACATGCAACATTGACACTAGTAACTATATCTTTAAAATGATCAAATAGTTATCTATAAATTCAGTTTAGATTATAGAATGATTCTTTTGACATAATACATCATCAATTTATACTAACAAACTTGCTCAATGAAATGCATCTCAGATAAATATATATGCACAATTATATCCCTTATCTTTGCTAATTTAGTTGTTTCCATATATATGTAGGAGATACTAAAAGTAAGCATATTAAGCAATGGAGATTGTTACTGCATTTATTAAAGAATTTGTTGAGCCACTCATGGTTCCAGTTAAGAAACACTTAGGCTACATGATTTCATGCACAAAATATGTAAGGGACATGAGTATAAAAATGAGAGAATTAAATGTTGCAAGACAAGGTGTTGAAGACCACTTGAAGTGGAACACAAGAACCCGTCTTAAGAATTCTGTCCAAGTCAGGAAATGGCTGGAAGACGTAGGACAGATCAATGAAAAAGTGGAGAACATTTCAAATAATATAAATAATGTTGGTAGTTGTTTCAATCTGAAGGATAGGCACATGCTCGGAAAAAAAGTCTCCAGTCTAATTGAGGACATTGATAGTGCAAAAACACAACACTCTCTCATTGATTGGACCAATTATCCAATTCCTCTTGGAAAAGTTGATTCCATGATGATACCCACCTCTATTCGACTAAGTCATCACAATGACTTCCAGTCAAGAATTCCGACTTTCATTGAAGCACTAAAAGCTCTAGGACCTAATCATAAATCTCACATGATAGCCTTATGGGGGATGGGCGGAGTGGGGAAGACGACAATGATGCAAATGATAAAAAGGGCTGTTAAAGAAAAGAAAATGTTCAATTTTATTGTTGAGGCAGTTGTAGGTGAAAAGACAGAACCACATGATATTCAGGAAGCTGTAGCAAATTACCTCGGTATAGAACTAAAAGAAAACACCCAACCAGCAAGAGCTGAGAAGCTTCGTGAAAGTTTTGAGGCCATTTCAGATGGAGGAAAGAATAAGTTCCTCATAATATTGGATGATGTATGGCAGTCTGTTGATATGGAAGACATTGGGTTAAGTCCTTTACCAAATCAAGGCGTCAACTTCAAGGTTTTGATGACTTCACGAAATAGGGACGTTTGCACTAAGATGGGAGTTGAAACTAATTCAATTCTCAACGTAAAAATCTTAACAGAAGAAGAATCACAAGGTTTCTTCCGCCAATTTGTAGAACTCTCAAATGATGTTGATCCCGAGCTCAATAAGATAGGTGAAGATATTGTTAGCAAGTGTTGTGGTTTACCAATTGCTATCAAAACCATGGTCTGTACTCTAAGAAATAAGAGCAAGGATGCATGGAACGATGCACTTTCTCGTTTAGAGCACCATGACATTCACAATGTTGTCCCTAAAGTCTTCGAAATGAGCTATGATAATCTTCAAGGCCAGGAGACTAAATCCATCTTTTTACTTTGTGGTTTGTTTCCTGAAGACTTTGATATTCCTACCGAAGACTTGGTGAAGTACGGATTGGGATTGAAACTATTTAGCAGAGTGTATACTATAATTCAAGCAAGAACAAGGCTGAACGCTTGCATTGAGCGGCTAATGCATACAAATTTGTTGATCAAAAGTGATAAAGTTGACTGCGTCAAGATGCACGATCTGGTGCATGCTTTTGTTTTGGATATGTTCTCTGCAGTTGATCATTCTTCGATTGTTAGTCAAAGTACCATGTCAGGGTGGCCTGAAAGTGATATTAGTGTACGATCTTGCAAAAGAATTTCACTAACATGCAAGGGTATGTCTGAGTTCCCTAGAGACCTCAAGTTTAGAAACCTCTCACTTTTGAAACTTATGCATGGCGATAAGTCATTGCGGTTTCCTAGAGACTTTTATGAAGAAATGGAAAATCTTCAGGTTATATCATTTGATAAAATGAAGTATCCATTGCTTCCTTCATCACTTCAATGCTCCACCAACCTTCGAGTGCTTCATCTC